ACTTATTAATGAAATAAAAGATTTGATAGTCAAATTTTTCCCGATAAGAATGGTCACTGCGGCCAAACCCGAGGTCGTCTGGCCAAATAAAATATACCACCGTACTTCTTTGAAAGTGCACTTTCAATTTATAACAATAATTCCCGATTGCACTATTGGCCTAATTTGAACATTATCTTTTAATTTAATTATAAAAAATAATTAATTAAAATTACTTTATTACTAATTTATCATATTTACTTACAACATATTTCACAATAACTTTAGTTTAAATTTAAAACATTTAATAATAACAATTTAATTAAAATAATAACAACCCTCACTATTTATCATGCTATTCAACAACCAATTTAGTTCATCAGTAATAATAATGTATTTAATAGTGTGTTGTGTTTGCGATTCAAATAGTATTGATGTGAACACGAGTTCGGGTTCAGTGAGGGGTCAGACACTCCATGTCTTGAATCGCTCTATACATCAATTCTTGAATATACCCTACGCTGAGCCCCCTTTAGGCCCCCTTAGGTTTGCCCCTCCCGTACCCCTCAAAGCGCCCAAACAGGTATTCATTGAAAACTATTTTATATTTTATATATTGATTGATTTTTTTTGTGGTTATTTACATACAGATTTTAATAGACGGCACAAAACTTGGTAATCATTGTATTCAAGACAACTTACATATACCTGAATATCTAAAGGTTATGTCCGATAGCTTAGCGATGAGTGAAGACTGTCTGGTATTGAATATATGGACACCAAATGTGGACAATCGTAGTAAAAGTGAAGGGAAAGTGGGTCTTAAACCAGTCATGTTCTTCATATATGGCGGAGGATTTATTTTTGGGTCAATATTTAAAGACTTGTACAACGGCTCAGTGTTGGCCACCAATGATGTGGTGGTTGTGTCGGCTAACTATAGGGTCGGGCCGTTAGGCTTCCTATACGGCGGCGATGAAACAGCGCCCGGAAATGCGGGTCTTTATGACCAGTTATTGGCACTCAAATGGGTATTCATTTAATGCCAAATTTTAAACCAATTATAATTAAATTAATAATAGCCTAACATTAATAGGTTAGAGAAAACATACGCCTCTTCGGCGGTGATAGGGATCAGATCACTATATTTGGCTACAGCTCCGGCAGTTGGTCGGTGTCCGCACACATACTCTCCCCGTTATCTAAGGGACTGTTTAAGAGGGCTATTATTCAAAGCGGGTCCGTTATGTACAACAGAGACCGACCGGCGCTGAGCGCTGTTGAGGCACTGAATACAGCCAAACAATTGGCCAGACGTTTAAATTGCAGTGAATTTGGCAATAAATGCACATGGTTGGATTGTTTGCGTGCAATAAAGGACCCAAATCTCTTTATTGTATGGACTAATGTTAGTCGCCTCGTATGGCAACACCCGGTGTTTGGCACACATTTTCTGCCATTTGTGCCCAAAAAAGCATTTAATACGCGATCATTTAATTTGGGTACATTTTAAAAAATAATGTATAACATTTTCATATTATTAATGCCCTAAAAAGTTTGTTTATTATTAATATACTGTATATTTGGTAGGCATTGAAGTGATGGCCGGTGTGACCAAAGACGAGGGCAATGCGCTCTCGTATTTCCGAATACCGGAAATGAATTTAAAACTCACGGAACAACTGTTCCGGAAAGCGGTCAACAATTTCAATGATGAATACCATAACATAGATGTGGACAAAGTGTGCGATCATTACCTAAAAGGTATTGACAAAACCAATTCATCCCAATTGAAAGGAGCATTAAGTGCATTATATGGCGATTTGGAGTACACGTGTCCCACATATCACTTCACCAAGAGTTTGGCCACAAATGGCCAGAAAGTGGTCTATTTTTATCGTTTTAATTTTCAAACCCAACTGACGGCTCGTCAGAGAAACTGTGCCGATGGACACGTATGTCACGCCGCGGACAGTAATCTCATGTTTGGCCAACCTTTAAGATATCCCTCACTTTACAGCAAAACTGAATATGACTTCAGTATAGAAGTGATGAAAATGTGGACAAATTTTGCAAAAAATGGGTATTTCTTAAGACTAGTATATTTTTAATTAAAATTTGAATTAATTTTTATAAATAAATTGATAGCAAAGCACATGAAGTTTGGCCACAATTTTGGGACAAATCTGTGATTCGTGTGAAAGACTTGAATCCCAACGATATGTCACTTATTCTCGACAATCCATACGAGAGTACATGTGATGGC